ACAGGGCACAGCCGGCAGCCCCTGAGGACGGCAGGAGCCCCGGGACTCTGGGACAGGGCACAGCCGGCAATCCCTGAGGACGGCAGGAGCCCCGGGACTCTGGGACAGGGCACAGCCGGCGGTCCCTGAGGGCGGTAGGAGCCCCGAGGCTCTGGGGCTCTGGGGCAGGGAACAGCCGGCGGTCCCTGAGGGCGGCAGGAGCCCCGGGCTCTGGGGCAGGGAACACCCGGCAGTCCCTGAGGACGGCAGGAGCCCCGGGGCTCTGGGGCAGGGCACAGCCGGCGCTCCCTGAGGGCGGTAGGAGCCCCGCAGGAGCCCCGGGGCTCTGGGGCAGGGAACACCCGGCAGCCCCTGAGGGCAGCAGGAGCCCCGAGGCTCTGGAGCAGGGCACAGCCGGCGGTCCCTGAGGGCGGCAGGAGCCCCGGGACTCTGGGGCTCTGGGGCAGGGCACAGCCGGCGCTCCCTGAGGGCGGCAGGAGCCCCGCAGGAGCCCCGGGCTCTGAGGCAGCCCCCAGCGGGTCGCACACAGCCGCCGGCCCGGGGCGGCCAGCAGAGGGGGACAGAGCACCGCACTGGGCCGGGCCGGGCCGAGCTGCCCGGGCCCACCGCGGGTGGCGAGTGCTGCCGGCCCGGCCCTCGCCCTCCACCTGGGCTGGCCCCTCCGCCCTGCCCGGCCGGGCAAGGGGCACATGGCAACCTCTAAAGGGCAGCAGGAGATTCCCTTGCTCCCCGCGGGCCCCCCGTATTTGGGGTGCTGCTGTAGGGGCTGCCCGCTCTCTTGGGAGCTGCCCGGCAGCTCGGGGTCCACCCAGAACCTACAGCTGACCCCAGCATCGCCAAATTATCAAACACCGCAAGTAACGTTGTTTATTTAAAAAGTATTAGAGCAGCTCTTTGCCATAAGTGACAAGTCATTATTTAATTCCTTTGGTACTCGCGGAAATAACATCAATCAACATGAATGCATCTGCTAGCTAAATATGAATGTAATCATCCATTAAAATGTTAACATTTATGAAAACTGTTTATTAAAATAAAGTTATAAGAATCTCATTGTGATTTGATAATCAGCTAATGTCCCCTTAAGGCAGAATTTGAACATTTGATGTTTGGAACTAGATAACATTTTAAATGCCCCATCAGTTTCTAACTCCAGTTATTCTGAAATATGATTAAGCCTTTGTGTTGCAGCCCTGGAAACAGATGTCCTTCTTTTATCCTTGTGCCCTGTGCAAAATGGGTATCCCCTCCACTAGCCTAAAAAGCCCAAATTCAGATAAAGAACCAAAGAGGTGAATGTATGGAGATAAACTGAAATCAAAATGAGGTGGTTTACCCGACCAGATCTAGTAGGGCTTGCGTGACAAGAAGTGCTGAGTTAGGAGAGCCCTTCTGGCATGGTGATACTGGGAGAGGGTGACAGAGGAGCATCCTTGGTTTGAATGAGCTGTGCCCAAGGAGACACCGATGGGACCAAGAAGCCATCCATGTACCCAAATGTGCCTGCAGCTGTGGCCCTACAGACCACACTCTGTCCTTGCCCTTGTGTACAACCCAGCTGGCATCTCCACTTGGAGATGCACATTGGCATCCTCCACCTCAAACCCAGCCCCTTTTGCAGGAAGGGAGATGTAATACATGTAATTTGGTAACATTTTGCTGTAAGACATCTGACAGCCATCAGCAGGTTTCATTTTGAGTCATGCTTTCTATT